TTTCTTATCGCAATACAGTATAATTCCCATGTAGCCATGTCACAGATTGCAAGAATAGCTTCCCTTAATATATAATTTTTTGGGGGAATGCTATATTGGTTAAAATGCCTGTCCTTTATACAACTATATCACACGGGAAGCACCAGGAATTACCTTATCGATATCGCCACTGCATGAGGGGATTCAAACCGCGTCTTCGTCCTATCCAGCGAACCGTTTACTACTAGGCTGACATTGTCTCTGTAGTATATATATCCTGCCCCATCGCTGGAGCCCGTCCCAACCACACAAACAAATGCAAAGGAAAGTTAATTGTTCAGCCGAAAAAACACGGGAACAAATGGTCAAAATTGGAAATTGCATAGGTCACTGATGCTTCAAATTTGTAATTGTCCTCATCAAGTCTACGATACACATTTTGAAAGCCTTACTAAGGCCTTGAATGGTGTAACCCCCGTCAAACAACCTTATGTAACCCCAATCAAAGTCATACCGTGCTTCTTCTGCGAAAGAGCATGCTCGATTGTACATCAAAAGTTGTGAAATGCAGACACCAAAAGCTGAAGTTGCTGGAATAGTTCTTGAGATAAAGTCATGCCTCTTTTCACATCAGCTCTCTTTCTAGTTCAGATTTAGTCACGATATGGCTGAAATACTGCCGATGTGACTATAAATCTTAACTCACTCACTCTAGTTCAGGTTGTTAAATCAGTGGACGGGAATGGCTATTTGACCATTATTAACCATTTTGGACGATGTAAACACGCCAAAGGACAACCCAGAGCCTAAATACCAGTCTCTCGTCTTTCATGTAATGCCGCAGCACTGAAATACCTTCAGACATCGTATTCCAATACCTGCTGCTGCTCGGGGTGTCGTTATACACCTCACCAACAATAGCAATTCCGGAATATATGTATTGTCACATGGGTTAAGACACCGGCCCTTGGTTTCTAAGGACAGCACATTCAAGGACAACGTTAGCGCTCTTAACTTTGGTCGCAGGCTATTTAAATCTAACGTAAAAAGCCGGAGATCGATAAGCAGTTTGGTACTTTGGTAGACATGATGCTTTAGAGTTTCAAATGATACCATTACTTGAACGCCTTGGAGCCGTAGACACAGCAGCAAGCTGTGAAGACTGGGTGGCAGATGACGGTTTCATCATTCGAATAGCCGAAGGTAATTCATGTGATGAAGATGTACACCATCCGAGTCCGTTCTGGATTTTGATTTAATTCCAAACATAGAACATACAGGAAAACCTCAGGAAAGTTATGAAGGAAACAGAGAGCTGCACTAGAGTGAGTGAGTGAGTATGGTTTTGTGCCGCTTTTAGCAATAATCCAGCAATATCAAGGGGGGGGGGGGGGGGGGGGGGGACACCAGAAATGGCCTTCACAGATTGTACCCATGTCAGGAATCGAACCCGGGTCCTCGGCGTGACGTGCGAATGCTTAACCACTAGGCTACCCGACAGCCCTGCAATAGACACGTTAGATTATAACTGATATTCCTAATAATGCAATCACAATCATTATGACAGTACATGGTATTTATAAATATTTAAAGACAAGGAAGTGACCAGCGTTTGAGACTATCTAGATTAACCTGGATTAAATTATTATAAAAGGATGTCGAGGTTGCGAAGACGATGTTGACTGTTAAACTATCAAAATTTATAGCAATACGAACATCGGCCTGTGCATTCAGTTCCATTACTTTTGTCCACTTTTACTCTCATGATGCCATTTAGACTTCATTTACAACATTCAAATGAGGAATTGTTGAAGATAGGTGAGGTGAGGTGAAATGGTGTTTAACGTCGCGTCCAAGATTATTGCACTTATATAGCGACGTGCATGTACTTGTGTGTGTTTGTGTGGCTGCTTGTACTAGTCCGGACCGATTTATAGTGCTAGCTCACTGAGATACCATGCCGCAGTTTAACATGAATACCCCACTCAGACACAGTATACTGACTCCGAGCCGACCAGTCCTTGTTTAAGCCCCTTAATGCCGAGCGCCGGACAGGATAACAACAAGTTTTAACGTCTTTTGGTATGACGCAATCGGGAATCGAACCCCGGACCTTCCGCTTTTCGGGCGGACGCTCTACCACTAGACCACGGAGGCTGTCCTATTGTTGAAGATAAACAAAAGCAACCTACAGAAAGCCATGCACTTAGTAATGGTTGCGTAGCAGAATCTCCAATTTCTTTAAAGATAGTGATTGAATGAGTAGGTTTTGACGCCGCTTTGAACAGTATTCGGGGAACGTCTCCTATAACTTTCACTGCAATTTTGCCTTTTACACCTATTGGGTTCCCCAGTTGGATAATCGAGACTGGTTATTCACTGGGGTTAACGTTATTTCACTGTGTGTCTGTGTCGGGGGGACATCATGCACAGGTCGAAGGCTTTTGTGAAACCCATGAACATGGGTATTGGTGCTGACAACGCAAGACTATTGGTATTGATTGTTAAAGAAATGTTGTCTTTACTCATGTTGTCTGAGATTCTGAACCTTAGTAACAACCGTTTGAACTAAAACCAGAAAACTAATGTAAGAAACCACATACTTATATTTATAAAACTTCGTATGAAATATTATCCCAAGATATTCGGAAGCAAATGATATGTGATCATTTTATAAAAATCATTTTTTAATCGTTATAAGCGATGAGCCACATGTAGAATATTGCTGCAATTAAACTGAAGTTTGATCAGTGGAACTGTGTGTACATCCCTGATGCCAGATGTAGATACGTGAGTCAGATGACTCACTAAAACGGGGCAATGTATCCTCCTCTCTACCTACTGAAAAACTTACAATAATTAAAACCTGACATTTTTTCATTTTCAATAGGTAGACCGAAATGTATTTTTAAGGTTAAAACGGTGAATTAATTTCTGATGTATTCGAGGAGTGCGAGCTTTTCACGCATTTTTATGGAAAATACCTTGCCATAGAATTAATACCGTCTGAAAAAACAAAGTTCCGCATAAACAAAACACGACTTCGTACTAACATAATGCCTTTAATCATGTATTGATGTTCCTAATTACGTGTTCGGTATGCGAGGCTTTCCGGAATAGCGGGGTTCGGGTTTCACTATATAACAATAAAACGTCCCGATATTCTCCCAGATCATTCATTGGTAACTGGTACCTTTGTAATCACATTTACCAACAACTGGATAAAAAGAATCCAGTTAACCAAGGTTCATCATTACGGAATTCCCTATTCGTACCGGTATAAAGAACAAAGATAATTTAAATTCCACAGTATCTGTCTTTGCTGTCGAAATAACTGGAATCACTGTGTACGTGCAATCGACTACCGTTGCATCAAAAACATAAGCTTTGTCTAACTCAAATGACACACAGATTCGGAAACCAGATTTGATTATGTTCGATGATGACACGTGAGTTTTTCACGAGTGATGAAGGTATCCAATACTGTTATCCTTTCTTCCTAAACGCCCCAAGACACTCATTCTATAACGTAAGATCGTGTAGTTATCGCTGACGTGTCACTGTGTAATTAAGGTAATCGAAATGGGATAGACTGATATACTGCGGGGTTGCAGTTAAAACAGAGAGGTTTTCTTGATGACTTCAATCTTGCTTGGACTGACAGTTGACTCGAGCCAGACTGTCCCCTTCAACCGGAAACTGTCATCACATGATGTCCGACATGATGTCCCTATTTTGACTTGTACCATATGTTCCCGTGCTTTTTTCAAGGAAAATATTGGCATGCCTTTGCATGTGTTAGTGACAAGTGCCACCGGTGGGGAAGGACACACTCGAACACCTGGTAGCATCACTATTTGATAGTGATTCTTAAACATGTGCTGATGATATAGTCGCAGTCGTACATTCGACTCTGCTTTTGGCAGTCATGCTAAAACGTATCAAAACACGAGGACGTCTTTTGTAATGTGAGCCTATATGTACAGTTAACTGATACTGGATAGCCTACATGTACTGGCCAGTTACCGTTGACTGATACCAGCTAACCTACATTTACGTGGCCAGTTAACCTTGACTGATACTCGGTAAGCTACATTTACGTGGCCAGTTAACCTTGACTGATACTCGGTAAGCTACATTTACGTGGCCAGTTAACCTTGACTGATACTCGGTAACCTACATTTACGTGGCCAGTTAACTTTGACTGATACTCGGTAACCTACATTTACGTGGCCAGTTACCGTTGCCTGATACAAGGTAGCCTGCTTGTTTTGATATTTCTCTAGTGATATAAAGACATCAATCAAAATTATATTTTAATACTAATTTTTTTTTATACTTTACATTGAATGTATGATCACAGGGCCAACTAGTGGTGTTGGCGCCTATTTTGAGTTAAGTTCAATTGAGAAAACAATGTTCAAACGATTCATCATTTAACCCTTAAAACAAAACTGAAGTGTAAACCCATGCTATGCAATGTCGTTACAGTTCTAAATACACGTTTAGAGCATGATTAAAAAGCAGAAACTGTTTAACCATGTTTAATGACAAGGCAAAATATTTATTCCCAGGACTTTACTTAGTATTGTCAACATTTCAGAGCCAAAGCCATATGATAATTGATTGGAATATCGTTTAACGTAATCGTTTTTCTCTAAGACACGAAGAACTGTTCCATTGATCTCCGGGCATCAACACGGATTTTTTTGTAATTTCAGTAGTCTCAGGACCGAACAAGATCAATAACATCAATGTCTTCTTTCCCGACATCAGTTGGTCCCTTTTTAATTCCCTGTGATAAAAACGGCCATCTATTTGGGCATGCGATTCAGCAATAATCCGCTAATTCGACACATGGCCTATCATGCTTCTGACATATCCCCAACGTTAAGCGGGCAGAGATGGTTTAAAGTCCAATTCCTTTCAAGTATCCTCTTAGTTATCACATGTTGCTGCCGTTATAATGGACAAACCTATTCTCCTGTAAAAAGAGACTAGTCACTCGGAAGAGAGGCACTTGTTTATGGCTTCGATGTCTCGGTATGTTGGCCGAAACTGTTTCGTCGTGACAGTGTTTCAGCACTTCTCAGATGATGTTTTGCAGATTGCAAGACAACACCAGTGGGACTCCGCAAATCCAGCTAACTAGTCGTCAGTGTCGGTAATTGAAGTATTACGCGAACACCTACATACACAGTGATTCCACGCTAGAAGGATGTGGTAATTATAGAGCCAGGCGTTGGGGAAGGTCAGACCAATGTCCAGCGGAGCTCCGCATCGTTTAGAGACCAACTGAATTACCACCACGATCTAATCGTTGTATAAGGTAAGTTGAGTGTGTAATCAAGTGAGTGTTTTTGTGTTTTTGTTTTCATGTGCTTTTTGACGGATCAGTAAGCTCATGAAGAAAACGTTAGATTACGAATGTGTATACAAATGACTATAACACGTGTAGAAATTGTATATTTTTATAAAAATATACTCGTAACAAACCATCAATACATTTATGCATTTATCACATACCAGTTTGAGTAGTGATGCAAGTATATCTTTGGCACGGTGTTCATAAAAGCGCCAGAAAAAAATCCTAGCAGTTCAAGAGTTATCTAATCACGCTTATGACCGGCGTCGAATCCCAACATGTAAACAATTTCAGGCCCTGTTTGTTTACCCTCCTCCGTGACAAGTGTGTATAACTGCATAAATCCTAAAACCCCGAAAAGCTCGTGTGAAGTGCTCAGAGACAGGTGATGGGTTCTGCCCTTTAAAAGCGCTAGTGTTTGTCTCATAAATGGTTCTGGCTCATTTTCATTTTGAGAAGCTTTTGAGTGTTGCTTGACGTTAATGTTGCGAAGGTACAGAATTAATGTTAAAATAATAAGAGTTTTAATATCTACAGAAAATAGTAAACATATTTCAATATGTAATCATTAATTATCCTTGACAATGCATATCCCAAATCCAAAGTTCATTAACCATAAATGTTTGACTTGGATATACTTGTTGCGATCTGGAATTGTGAATTCTTTTAGATTACAAACTAAGCCGTTATATCGAAAGAACCAAGTCATGTAATGCAATCTTCATCATGTTATTTTCTCAATAAATGTGTTTCCATGACGACGGTTATTTTGAATACTGGATACGTACGCCTACATGCATATGTATTGGGTTTTTAGTGTCAAACCACACTTAAAACGGAACAGAGCCAAGAAATGTCTACTTTTACCCCAGTAAAGATGAGTCGCCCTTGTGCCTAATTGTGACGTATCCTTCCTAGTTGATGGGAAGGAGACACTCTACTTATGTAAAACACAAAATACCCCTTGTCGAATTCTGTGAGAGAAGCACTCCGTCACGAACTCATGATCAAGTAGGACCAGCATACTGGATTATACTAGGAATGCGCTGTCTCAGTTTTGTTTACTAGTTTATTATAACACAAGTCATCAGACAAATATATTCATGAGTGATACAAAAGATTAACTCCGTCTGGTTTGCGTACCTTAGGGACAAACAAAAAGAAATCAAATTAGTACTGAGGTGAACAAATATTATTCTCTCATCTTCTTTTTCGTTTGCATTGGCGGAATGATTCGCCTCTATTCTACAATGAAATTTCAGATACTAGAATTCCTATAGATCATCGACCATATGTCGACTTATTCGTCTTTCGAAATAAGCGAAGTTCAAGACCATAGCTATATGAGGAAGAGAATTTATGGATGTCGACTTCTTTATTTTGAGGAACACAACGTTTCGGAGAATATGCTTACTCCTTCATCAGGTGAATTATAGGTATATGGACTCAATGCTTCTAAATGTACATGTATATCGATCGATTTGAAGTTGACGGGGTTCTGCACGCGAGCAGAGTAACATTATTTCGTTATGTACGGCTTCTGGTTATGGTGATAGTCGATGGATTTTCATGTAATCCTAACACTGCACAATGCCTATTCAACGATTGGTGAGTTCATTGAGGAAACATCACTGAAGGTGCCATAATTCTTATATAACCAAAACTACGTTTAAATCGCTATATTAGCAACCTTTCGGTCGTGGCTATTGTGTGGTACATGTATTTATCATGGGGATAAATGGCAGACATCCACAATTTACAATTGATATATCGTAGACTTGGTATCTTATGTCTCATGTTGCATTGCGAACAGCTATATGTCATAATTCACGCAATTCTTCAATACAAAAATATTCCATTAATCAGTAATTATAAAACCTCAAAGCCAGAGAACACCAGTCTCGATTATTCATCAAAACAGATTCTATTGCGCATAAAAAGGCGAAATAGAGGTGAAAATTATATGAATGGATCATATCAGTTTTCACATCAGAGAAAATTGCAAGCACGTCCAGCTCTACCAGAAGCGACCGCCCATCTGATGGGGGCATGTAAACCAACCAGAAAATCATAGATGGACCCGAAAACCTGCACTCTATTCACGAGGAATCTATCGTTTGCATATGTGCACTACGTAAGCACTCAATGCACGAGAAGTCTGACATATGTAATCATGTAAGCTCGGAAGGTTACTGTAAGAGTTTGGTGCCATGCGTCGTATAGTAATTAAGACCAAAAGGCAAATACTTAGTATATACATGGAACCAGTTCCCATTTATCTGGGGAAGTGATAATACCAAGTGTTCGCGTAAAGGTAAGCGTATCCTGTCCCGCCGATGGTAGTCGTCACAAACACATGTAAAGGCAAGTCAATTGTTCACCTTAATGAACACGGGAACGTATGGTAAATATAGGGAATTACATCGGACATCATTTTTGTCACTGATGCGTCAAATTTGAAATTGTCCTCTACATGTCTATCATAAAATGATGTTTCGTTGTATTCGTACATCGACAGTGAATGTGTTTTCAAATTATCTAAACGAATCCTTCTACAGTAAACACCCGGTGACGTGGGGGATTAGTGAGATCGTACAGGTCGGTTTTTAATAGTTTTTCTTCCATTGGGACTATTATCCGTTTCTTATAGCAGAAATGCATGTATCTTTAGACACAGACGTAAGTGAAGCCCCTTTAATCCGGACGGTATTGTTTCCGGATGATAAGTTCCGAATTATTTCCCGAGAATAGACCTTTGTCCGTTGACCTTTAACCATATGACAATGCTCCTAACAATGTCGTCAGAAAGGATTCCGACCCAAAAGGTCAGAATCTTTTTAATATAAACGCGACGTAAAACCCCATTTCACCACCACTAAGGGCCGTATTAAAGGAGTTTCTCTGCATTTCAATTTATTCAAAAGTATCATTCGGGGGTTACGTATAATTCATAAAGGACTTTACCTCCCTGTGATTCGTCAGTTGATGCTATTGCAGACAACTTCCACTACCTATTCAAACATAATGGCTTTGTAAATTCTGGATCTAAATATATTCCATCTGGTTCTTATGAATGGCCTAGCCTGTATAAATACAAGAAACACTTGTGTTCTGGAAATGTTTCAATGTTAAAACTGTCTAAATTTATTGCAATTGTATATCGAAGTATTAGAACTAAGTATAAAAAAATAAACGCCATTGTGATCATGTTATTTATTGTGTTGATATTGTTATAAACACATGCTCTTGTACCACCGTCGGTTGTGATTTGGGATTAAAGAGAGTGAGTGAGTTTGGTTTAACGCCGCTTTTAACAGTATTCCAGCTATATTGCGGAGTGTCATCTTAATGAGGAAAGCCCAAGTGATGCACGTCTCAGCCGTTTACCACTTCAGTGCAACCCATGAGCACGGGCATTGTGCTGACAAACCTAGAAACATAATTGGGGCAACGGGGATGATAACCAACGATCATTGGTTTCTGTCATGCCCAAGAAACGGAACTTAGCCAATTGTGGCGCGTTGGACGACTGGGCACCCGTGCCCCATGTGAATAATAATGGAATTGAATTGATAATATCCACCAATGTATTAGGACTGTCAATTTGTGATTCCTCTGTTACGTTACAGCTTCTTATTCACCATGTCGTGCAAAATACAAAGATTATGAAGTATGATATATCATATAACATCAAAACGTAGCCATGATATCGCAATTTTATGATTTTATGTCTTCCATATATAAATGCCACAAAACCCTTTCCATATTCATGAGAAATTTCTGCTAAAAGCAGAGTCGACGGTACGACTCCCGATGTAGGGAAGACCTTACATTCATCACAACTCTTCTTGAAATCAGTGTAGTTAACTGACATACTAAAAATAGAGAACGGGACCTTTCCAGTGTTTAGTTTATGGAAATACATCGACTTTGGATTCTGAATTTCTAATATATCAATTACAGTTGTTATTCCTAGAAGACATTTTAAATACCTACATTAACTGAGGTTAACAAGAGAATAAGAGGGTAAAGGGTTTGTGTAATCATATTATTTATAAAACACTTTTACCAGTAATGATATCTTTTGTCAGTGTCCCAAACGGACTGCCCCGGAATGACTCACAACACGGTAACTGCTTTCAACAAATAAACTTTTGATTCAGGTCAAACCAGAGCAACGGAAAACCTGAACTTTTCAACCTGGAGTCGATGGACGACGCCTCGCGCTTCTGATCACGAGACGGTTCGTGGTCCCGTGATCAACTCATTTAAGGATAGGTTTTATGTGCAAGGGCCGCTAATGTCAATTGAAATAGCTTTACGTTCATTGTATGTTTTCTTTCGATTAAAGCTAAATGGCGGTGATTCTGCGATAGAAGGAAGCACAAGAAGTCTTTGAGTAAGGTTACGTGATTGCGTTTTGCAAATTGAACTTCGTATAAGGAGATTAAGATTGTTGGGCTGCACAACATTAACTCCCATCAAGCCTCGCACAGTTTAAACTTTCTATGCATGCAGTGCTAAGTGTTGTCGGAGAAGTGTGCGTTCAAATATGTTTAAAGAATTATTTACCATTAGAATCGGTCATAAAGGCTCTAAAAACATGACCCGATTGGACTTAAATTTTACGAAAGTTCGAACGCACTCCGCCGTTTCATGTTTTAAATGATTTCTTTCGGAAATTTTTTTTTCCTTTATAATGAGAGTTCCAATGTCATTATGTCTAGAGAAACGGTTACGTTATGGGTATTGTTTAATTCCGTGGAGCGTTCATCATACAGATTCTATTTCAATTACATGCAAGTTTCAGACAAAATCAGGCACTTGAATTTTCAGACATATTCAAAATAACCGAAATACACTTCTTTAACCCTTAACTGATAACGCCTCTTGAAACCGAGTCGGTCCTTTAGCAGTAAATCCTCGTGTAAGGCATCTGAATGTAATTGGTTATAGAGTCAGGT